GTGGGCGTGGCCCCGCCTCTAATAGGTTTAATGTGCATATCTCCTAAACCGCTAATGCTATAAAAACAAAATTCACTAGGAGCAAATGTTTTTAGCACTTCTATTGACGGTGTGAAAATAGTTGAAATCGGGTGGCAACTTCGCCCACTCCCCATATAACGGTACTGTTAAAAACTACTAAAAGCGCGATAAATCAAGCACTAAACACGCCAGAGACATTAAATTTTATCTCTGAGATGGTATAAATTGGCTTTATAGGAACCGCGTTCAAAATTAGTCAGTGGGCGTGGCACAGCCCACTTTTAGGTGAAACCCATATCTTGGGATCTGCTTAACCGATTTCAACCAAATTTGGTGCATAACGTTCTTTTCATGTTTCTATGTCATAGTGCGAAAATGGATGAAATCGGACTACAACAACGCCTATTTCCCATATAACACCATTTTAAATTCCATCTGATTCTTTCACTTTCCACTATGCAAATCAGTTAACAATGATTATATCGGGGTAAAACTTTGCGTGAATAATGCAATTAAAGTATGCCACCTTGCGGCCAAAAATTGTCTAAATCGAACCAAAACTGTTCAAACCCTAAGTACTAAATATGTGGACCCCAGTGCCTATAGTTGACCTTCTACCGAAAATATCAGTCAATCCACAAAGAAATCTCTAACGAGTATACCATTTGACTTTGCGAGAGTATAAAATGTTCGGTTACATCCGAACTTAGCCCTTCCTTACTTGTTTTAACTACTTTTATTTCGCTGTTTTGCGTCTGTTACCGCCTTGACAACTGTCAGTGCAATGCAATTCGGTTTTCTACTTATCTCAGCAAGAGATTAAACGTGTTTTATCATTAAATTCTATAATCTCTGCTTTGCGCAAGTTTCATGTAAAAAAATATGACAATAAGATTTGTGCAAATAAAAGCAGATCTTTCGCATGTGGTTTTGAGCAAACATGGGTAACATAAAAGTTCTTGATAACGGAGAAAAATTATCAAAAAAAGGGAACAAAAATTAATAAAATTAGTAACAAAAAAAAAATACATATATATGTATATTAAAAATTCTTGCAAATCTCATTTCAAACTTTATTTTAAATTTTTAAAAACTGTCAGCTTTTTTGGTTGTTGGAAACTTAATTGGAAACTCACTCCAACAAGGCTGTGCTCAAAATAAATACAAATAATGAAAAAACTTGCATAAATTTAAAATTGCAACAATTTTCTGAATCTATTTTGCATTTTAGGTGTTGTAATATGCAATTAGTTGCAACTACTTGTGTGTGTGTATGTGGTCGCATTTAGCAAATAAATTACCACCACAAACATTTCATTACTTTTACATAATATTTATTTGTGTGCATATGCCAGCTAGTTCTACCCACTAGCTAAACTGTTTACATGATTATTAGTGTGGAAAATTTGAATTCGTTTTGGGTATGCCACTCGCAAATAACCGAATTAACCAGAGTTATGTCATACAAACTAAGCTTGTTTACTAATATTTAGAATATTTTATTTATTTACAACTTTATTTGCAAAAGTCATAATTTTGCATTAACAAACAATTATATATTAATACGCATACATTTATTCACATAGAATTAACGCAATGTTAACATGAAGCTCATTTAAAATTATTACAAGCTAAACAATTTCTAACACATGCTTTTGGTGGGGTTGCCAACCTGTTTTAGAAATGTGCAGACCAAACATAAATTTGAAATTAAATAATTTTAGAATAAAAACATTTTTTGTAAAATTTATGTTGCCACCAAAATTGTTTTTACTACTACCCACTATTTAAATTAGTGCTTAAAAGCTTTCACTGAACTTAAAAGCTTTCACTGAAGCTTTGAAACATGTCGATTGTTTTCAGTATATTATGAACGATGAAGACTTATTAGATATGAACTGCGCTAACACAAAAGATTCTAAAAAACGTTATATTTATAAGTAAAAAAATTTAGAACATTTCAAAGTTTGTAAGATTTAAGATATATCGATAATTAAAAGATAATTCGCTCTAATCGTAATCGATGCTTTTTGTATATCCTGAGTAGTGTATACTCGTAATAAGTTTGGCACGAAGTTAATAACACCCACCCTTTTAAATAAAACATATATATATATATGAGCTGAGTCGATTTAGCCATTTCTGTCTGTCTGTGCGTCTGTCTGTATATACGCGAACTAGTCCCTAGTTGCGCACGTCCTCTTCTTACCAAGTACCAAACTAAATGATCAAAGTCAAGTCCTTGTATGGACAACTTTTGTATTTGACGAGATATCTTCACAAAGTTTGGCAAGAATTATTGTCCAACGCTACAATCTTCGAAGAATTGGTTTAGATCGGAATACTATAGCATATAGCTGACATACAAACTGACCGATGAACATTAAGATAAAGATCTTTTTATACCCTTTCATGCTATAAGAAATGTACATGTGAAGGGTATTATAGCTACTGTGCAACTGCAGTTCATGTTTTAACTTCTCTTCTTTTCTTAACATAGAAACGGGTTACATTGAATTTTTTCAATATATATAATGTAATTGTTTTCAAAAATCTAACTATCAATTTGTTTCTATACTTATTTTGACGTCACTCCCTGTATATACACAATATTCTGCTGCCATGTGCTTTCATGAAAAACCTTTAGCTCTTATTAAAATTTCTAAATCAAATAAACACGTTTATTTATTTTCCCGTTATTTGTTTGTCCGTCTACATTTATTGCACATATTTTGCTAATGAATTTATGCAAGTAAATTTCCGCTCAAAACTTACTACTCTACTTTTATAATATTTGCAAATACGCAAATAAACAGCGTTGCATGCAAGTGGTTGTGCAAATAAATTTGGTAAATAAACAACGCTGGCAAATATGCAAAAACAAAAATTTTAAATAAAAAAGTTAATGCAAAACGCTGTTGGCATGTACATACTCGCCGCAATAGTTTTGTTGCAGGGCAACAATAATGCTTCTATTTGTTTGTTGTAGCATGCTTGCAACATGTGCGCGCTGAATTCGATGATTGCGTTTAGTTAGTGAATGTGGGTATTCATGGGGTTTAAACATTCCCGGAAAATTTGTATTTTAAATATTATTTATATCTAGTGATATTAATAAAGTTTTAAAAATAAAAAAAAGTACTCTTAAGGGAATTAAATCAGGTATTAATTTTTTTGAAGTTTTAATGGGATAAATTTAGGAAATTCTTAAACATTTTTTTTTTGAAAAATTATGACAATTTAGAATAAATTATCTTAATTAAGGGCAATTGTTGAGCTCGCGTATTCATGATACATTTTTTTATTATTCATTAAATAAATTTTACTAATTTTATAGAAATTTTTTTCACATTTTCTTTATAAACATAGTTTATTCCTTTAAAGATTGACTGAAAATATTAAATAAAAAATGTTATTTTTGTCTTGTATATTGTGGTCGTGATAACTATTTAGCGAAATTTATAGTATACAATTTAGTTTTATTTATTTTCTTTGATCCTTTTCTAGTTTTTGTTTTTGAGTAAATGAAAAGAAAGATTTTTCCAAAATGTTTTTCTAAACTTTTTTTCCATAATTTAAAAGGTACGTAAACGTACAACGTGGAAATTTTTTATTTTAAACTAAAAGTTTACATAAAGTATTGAATAAAAAATCTCAGTATTTTGTAAATGTGATGTTGATATTAATTTTTAAAAGATTTATTTAATTTTTTTTCAAAAAATTCAAAATTGAATATATATTTAAATTTTTGTTTTAATTTCATTTAAATTCAAATTGTTTCAATATTCAGCTAACGTGTTATACACACATATTTTTTCTGATTTTGACATTTTTTATTAAAAAAAAAGAATTTCAACATTGGAAAAATATTACATTAGCTTAGCAAAAAATTCGATATTAAAAAAAATTTTTTTTTTCGAAACTTTTCATTTTTGCAATAAAAAAACCAAATTAAACACTTTTTTTTTAAGAAAAAAAAACTTGCGAAATTCTAAAAATATTTTTTTTTATTAAAAAAAAAAGATAAAAATATAACAATTATCGATAATTCACAAAATTTATGAATTTTAATATTGTTATTATAACCAGTTTTTAATATTAATTACTTTTTTTAAATAACGCCCGTTTGGTATTAAAAAGAAGCTTAATTTTGTCTGTTTTTTATAGAAGGATTTTTATATAATGGTATTTATATTTAAAAAAAATGATAAAAAATAATAACTAACTTTTTATAAAAAAGAAACATATATATATATATTTTTTCAAAATTTTTCATTTATTCTAAAAAAGAATTAAATAAATAAATATTTTTAATTAATACAAAAAACAAATACAAAAAAATATTATTACTTATTAAGGAAAAACACAAACAATTTTCGAAATATATTGTATTTATTTATTATGCGAATATGATAAATATTACTATTGGTATTAATGTAAGTTTTCAATATTAATTACTATTTTTCTAAACAATGCGCATATGGAATTAAAAATTTTTTTATTAGCGGATTTTTATAAAAGAGTATTTCTTTATTTTAAATTTTATATTTTAACAAAAAAGGTTAAAAAATCTTCTAAGTAAGAGTTGAAAAACTGCTTTTTTTGCATCGGAGATAGAGGAAGGGTAATTTTATAAAAAAAAGTTCTAAATATTTAGAATATTTAAAATTTCATTTTTCTGCTTTTAAAGTAAAGATTTTTTCTGATTAATAGTTGCAAAACTATTTCGTTTTTTACATAAATATTTTCAAAAATTTTCAAAATTCATTTCCTTAACTCATAGTGAATACCCTCAACTGATAAATCGCGCCTTACACATCAGCAGCAAATGCACCGCCACCCTTTTTGCCTTAATATAAAAGCTATTAAAATTCAACCAACTCGGAACTAGCCACAAAAAGTTGTATATAATATTAGATACACAGTGTGTATGAAGTGATTGTATATAAACTATATACGCATGTATATGGGAAACTCACCTATTAATGTACAGCAGAGATATAAAACTGCAAACGCATGCAAACCGCATACGCGCCACCGCTGTTGTTGCTGTTGCTTGTGTTGCCCCATAATTGTAAACTTGTTGCTGCGTCCCTTCAACTTCGCTGCGCACGTTTAGCGTGTATGCTTTAGTGTCTCCTTATATATTTGAGTGTGTGTGTGCTGATTTATTTTTAGCAGCACTGACCGGCTTCACTTTTTTCAATTATCGTCACAAATAAGCGCACAACACAAAAATGTGCCAAAAAAATGTGTGCCGTTTACACTTTTTTCGTATAAAATTGCAAATTGTTGTTGTTTTTTTATAGTTTTGTTATAGTAAATTTTTACTTCCAATTAATTTCGCAGCGCGTGTGTTCTAATTCACCGCATTTATTTATTTGTATTGCAAATTTGCTTTTATTTATTATTTAGCAATTTGAGTTTAGCAGCAATACTTCGCTGTTAGCTGCCGTCAGCTTTCAATCACTTTGGTTGTTGTAGCGTTGCTACTTTTTAAACACTTTTCACACTAGTAATTTTTAGTGTAAGCTTTTTTGCCTTTGTTTTTGGTTGTGTTATCGGTTTTTATGACTGGAAAAGCTGTTTGCCGGCAAACTAAATTAATTTTGGATCACAAAAGTAATCTTGTTAATTTACAGCTGCGTTGCAGGTTGTGGTAAGGAAATATGCTGAAATTGAAAAATAAACAAAATTTAGTGAACGATTGCAAAACATATTTCTTGTAAACAAAAAAATTGTTTACTGCAAAAAGTATATCTTAAAATATAACACTTATATTTAGAAGTTCGAGCTTATATGTAATAAAAGAAAACTGATTCCTTGTCGACTACTCTAAACACCATTTCGGAATTGGAATACTTAGACCAAAAAAAAAGGCGAACATTTAAAAGTTTTTATTAGACTTTTTACTATGGTTTATATTTTGCTTCAAAGCTGCCGAGTCATACACAAAATTCCGGAAAAAACGAGCAAAATCGTATCATAAAGAGCGGAAATATAGATGTCACGAATTCAGCGGCACCTAGCGAGTGAGCTCTTAGGCTATACCAATAAAACTTTTCCAAAAATGCATTTAAGAATAATTCAAAAGATCTCAAAATTAATAATCTACTTTTCTTACTTCAATCTAAGTATAAACAAACCTACTAATCTTAATGCAACGCAATGAAAGATTGAAGACATACATCTCGAGAGTATTATCGAGAAAATTATTACGGTTATGGGCTTACTTAGTCCTACATAACAAACCATCTACACCTGTATTCCAAAAAATAGGAGCAAAATCGACAAATAAACAGGCAGTTTATAAATATCATGGACGCAGCTACACTTAGTGACTCGTGTGATAGTCTTTGATCTAGATCTTAGTCTAGTTGCCTAAGCAATAATTTAAAAATATTTCATACAATCCCAAACGATTACCAAAATAAAACGAGCATGATTGGATCATCAATAGATAATACTTACTCACCGATACCTAGCCTAAAAAGTTATTACTTTCCCGAAAAAATCGTAATACACACAATTCGAATCACTTCCTTAACTAACTAAGCAGCTTTTCCGCTTATCAAGTACTTTGCGCTCGAATTCATTTATCTAAATGCATGTATCGACTTAGTACGGGGAAATATGCCATATAGTTATAAAAACATTTCATAATTGTATGTCGAAGTAAACGAAATCGCCCCACAAATAGCGCCACCTATCGAAAAGTTTAAGCACAGCATCAGCTGTAGAATAATTCTAAGATGAATGTGTGGATTTGGTTTACAGGCTTCTGTGCTTTAGTTTTAAAAAAAATTATTTATTACTAATTTATTTATTGAAATATTTTTTAAATCGAAAAATGATCTCAAGATTAATATTAATTAGTCTTTTTTAAGCAAGAAATCAATAGTGAATAGTCACTCGCCTAATTAAACTTTAACCTCGCAGTTTGTCAATAGTTTGACAGCATCACATTTGCATTGCTGTCAGAATAATATGTTGACAGTTAACTTGACAGCAGCAGCTTTGCATGCACCGAGACGAGTGGTTTAAAATATCAGTAAGTACTCTCTGAAGAGTTAAAATTTTTGCAGTGAAGATGCAACGTCAAACAATTTTAATGCTATGAAGCAAAATTTTATGCATTCTTAATATTTTATGCATTTAAAATTTTATGCAAGTGTAGAAATATATTCTCGCATGCATAATTCAACGAGCTTTCACCTTTAAAAAATGAATGACTAAATGTGCAAGACATTTTACATACACTACACCGAATTCCTGCTTGCCAACAACAAATGCAACACCGAATACCTGACTGACATTTGAGAATTCATCTCGGAGCAAAGCTTGTATGCTGTGGACAGGATGACCTATTTGGCTTTGTCGATTTTTTTGCTCAGCAACACAAGAGTAAATTATACATAAATGCATACTTGTAGAAATAAATATGTCTGAATATGCTTACATATAAGAGCACAAAAGGGCATAATGTTGAAGATTTATATATATTATATATAAAGGTAAATGTTTCATATAATATTATACTTATGTATATAGTATTGTGTATGACTGCACATTTAGTTAACCACTCTACAACTTGCCACTTTGCTTTGCTTTTGCCTTTCAACTCAATCAGTTGCATGCAGCCGTTGCACGACTCACTGCACGACCAAATTTGTAATGTTGCCTCAATTAACCTTAAAATCCTAGCGTTGTAAATGGGGCACTTCAAGTGCAGCAACACCAATGTCAAGGGTTATTAGGGCAATTTTATTACATGAGCAACTGCTAACGAAGGGAAGTGTATATATGTAATATAATATAATTTAGTTGGGAGCTGAATGGTAATTCGACGCTTAATTTGATAATTTAGTGGCAATGAGTGCATATACTATAGAAACGTGCTTTTCATGCTATTATTTACACTTGCAGCAAATTTCTGTATTTATATAAATATTTTTTAAATTGAGAAGGACCAGACCGAAGTTAACTAGTTTGTATTTAGTTGTATTATTTACACTTGCAGCAAATTCCTGTAGTCATATAAATATTTTTTAAATTGAGAAGGACTAGTTCGAAGTTAACTATTTTGTATTTTAGTTGCAATGTATTAAAATAATGCATGTAAAAATGAAATTGATGACTTTCTAGTAAGACTTGTCCGAAATTAACTAGTAGTAGTAACTAGTTACAAATTATAAAATTTATACAAATATAATAAAAAATTAAGCGGACGTTATTTTTGTGTTATATTATGTGATGTTAACATCACATTATTATTTTTGAAAGTGGCTAGCCTGAAATTACATAGTTTATTGTCGTGTTAGTAAGGTACCAAGATTATATTATATCCCATTTATTATAGCTTTGTATCGACTTGAGTAGAACTACAGGTTGGTTAAAAATTTTCTGCGCGCGGAATGAAAAAATACTGTTTTCGGTACGAAATATATTTTTTATTTAATATAATCTCCCTTAACTTCAATACACTAATACTTAATACTTGAAAAAAAAAAAATTTGGAGCTATTAATGTTATTTCTTAGTGATAGTAGACACTTCACAACCAACCTGTATGCGGAAATTAGCTAGTTTGTAACTAGTTGAAAAATAGCAGTTATTGAAATAATATATTTTAAAGATTTTTTTGCACTTCTTTGATTGTTTTATTTGCGTAATGTTCTATTGCTAATCTCTCCGCCTTTTCGTTTGTACTGGCCGAATTTATTTATGCCAGTTGTTTGTTCTATGCGCCAATCTGCTCCTTTTGCTAAATCGAGGACAATTATGCTAATATGTAAGAAACTGAATATCAATAAATTAGTTCCTAAAAATAATTATCACTTCTTCAATACTTTGCAATTATTTTGTCTCATTTTCCCACGCTCGAAACTTACGCCAAACATGTGCGCAGGCGCGCCTTTGCATGGCTTCCTTATGTAAATACAGATCTATTTGTACAATATATATACGTGCGTGACAACATTGCAATGACAGCAAAATAAATTTCATTTGAAATGCACAACAAGATCACCTGTCGGGTTTGTCGCTCGTCTATTGCAATTAACTCAGTGTGAACGTTCGCTTTCGCTGATCTTCGCTACTCTACGCCGATTCATTGCTCACTTTTGGCGCTAATAAATTTTTCTATTGGCGTATTTATTTCGAGCATTTTTTAGCGCTTGCACGCAATCTAAAGTGCAATTGGAATTTATTTATTATGTCTGCGCTAATTGACAGCTTTAGTTGTTCATTGGAAACAATTGGCAGTTCATTCTAATTTCTATGGAAAATTGCTGGAACGCTTACAAAAATAATTTTTATTCAGAAATTGTATTTAGCATTAAACACTCGTCACAAACTCGTTGTTATCTCTTCGAACATGTATTTTAACTCGCTTTAAACACTTTATTGTTTTGGTGTTTAAGAAGGTACATGACGGTATTGCGTCGTAAATTAACTGCAAAGCTGCATAACTCTTGAGAGCTCACCAGCCCATACATACGAACAACGCGTTGTTCATAAAAAACAAATACTAAACCCTTACGATGGCGTACGATCAATGCTGTGTACAGTCCTTTGTGAAGCCAGCGGCCAGTGTTGATACTTTAAATGAAAAATATTGTCATTTTCTATATAATGATTATATTTGAGGGGTAATCCACGAATCTACAAAATATTATTAATGGGATTCAACAACTTAGTACAATCCGTTTTTTTCTTATCTTTTAGGTTATATTCTAGGTTTTTCGTAAATAAATAATTAAAAAACGGTTTTCATTCAACCAAACAACTGATTATTTGTAATAAATAATCGCATGAATGAGTTCCCATCAAATGTTAATAGACTACCAAACAGAAATAATAAACAATCTAGACGCATTGGCTGAATGGAACTCACATAAACATAATGTATTTGTTTTCGCAACTCATTTGTATGCCGTGTATGTATGCGTGTGTGTGGTGAAGACAAATCGAAAAATCGCGAATTGTAAATAAATAAAAGCCTGTGAATGCAAACAAATGCAAATATGGCAATATGAGAACAAAAGCATGCTCTCATTACGGCTTTGATTCTATTGATGAGTATCACGTACATTCGGAAAAAGTTTAAAAAATTTAAACAAAAAGTGAAAAATTCAAAATTAAAAATAATAATAATTTATTTGAATGAAAGAAAAATTTTAAATAAAATATTTTATGAAAAGAAAACAAAAAAAATTATATATATAAAAAAAATTCAAAATGTATTTCAAAACCGGGTTTATTTTTATTTTTGGACAATTTAAAAAAAATAAATAAACATATAGCATTTATAAAATTTTTTTTGGAAGATTTAAGATAAATATATTAACAAATAATTTTTTATTTAAATGAATGTAAACTTCTTCACTAACAAAAAAAAATAAACAGGAAATTGAAGAAAAATTTAAACGTATTATTTTTTATCAATTTTGTAATAAAATAAACAAAAATTATGTTTTGTTATTAAAATTTGAAATTAAGTAAGCTAAGTGAAATTCAAAATTAAGTATATAAAAAAATTATAAATACTTATATCAGTAATTTTTAAAAAATTTTTTTTAATCATATTTTTAAATGTATATTTCATTAATTTTATTATGTTAATTATCAAAATGGCAATAATATAAGCAAAAATTTAAGTAAAAAATAAGTAA